TTTTTTTTTTTTTTTTGGGTATTTTGAAGGGGAATTTAGGATGGGCATTGATGCAGCAAAACAATTACATTGAAGCAGAGGATGCTTACAGGAGGGCCCTATTGATTGCACCAGACAATAACAAAATGTGCAATCTGGGCATTTGTTTGATGAAACAGGGGAGAATAGAGGAGGCGAAAGAGACTCTTAGAAGAGTGAAACCAGCAATGGCTGATGGCCCTAGAGGTGTAGATTCCCATCTCAAGGCCTATGAGAGAGCACAGCAAATGCTTCGAGATCTTGAATCTGAATTAATAAATAAGGGCGGGGATAGGGTCGAACAGTCTAAACTTTTTGATGCATTTCTGGGCTCTTCTGCAATCTGGCAGCCTCAGCCTTGCAAGGAGCCTATCAGAAAATTTTCAAATCCTGGAAACGAATTTCCTGATGAGAATGTCAACACTAACATCATAACAACAAATCCAGTGGTTCCCCATGTACAGAAAAGTGTTAAGCCAGTTTTTTCTTGGGGAAATTCACTCAATATTGATGCACCACCATTCTTTTCATCGAAATTTACCACGCAATTCCCAGAGAGCCTTAAGAGAACGAGGTCTGGAAATGTAGCAAATTCAAGTTCAAATGAAATGGGAGGAAAGCAAATGATGTCTTTTGTAGAGCCGGAAAATAAAACGCAAAATCCGGCTTATTCACTGGAGAAAACAGAAGATAGGTGGGCAGGTTTGCTTCCGGACAGTGAGGATTTTGAGAATGCTATAATCGCTGCGGTTTTGGGTTCTGAGGGTGAAACCAAAAAGGCAGAGGAAACAAGAAATGATACTGGATTTCCTCAAAGAAAGGTTGACAAAAGGCTAAAAGTTTTCCAGGACATTACACTGTCTTTGAGTCCAAGGGCCTGACGTTGACATTATTACAAGATTCATATGACGTTAACTCTGATTTAATAAATCTAATTTATATGTTTTTTCTTCATAAAATTTAGGATGGAGATGTACTTGTTCTCCTCAAGACTAGAGATTTTTCTCTAGTTTAATTCACGTCTGCCTTCATTCAATAAATAAGTTCCATTTTATCTTTATCATAAATAAACCTTTTTTTATCACTTTATTTCCCCCCACATTTAGCCTAGTTTCAGCTCTCTGAAGGATATGATACATCCTCTTTCCTAGACAAGTTGTAACATTAGGGTGGTACATAATTTTATGAAAATTTCGATAAAAACGAGGTAGAAAATATAACTAAAGTTACTAATAAGTGTGTTTTACGTGCTTATCCGTGCTTATGAACTTTATATGTTTGCAAATTAAGTAGATTT